ACTAAAATAACTGTTGGAAACTAAAAACCAAAGGAAAGCTTAATCGTCCGAGAGCAATTAAAAAAAAAATAAAATAATACAACAACAGATCCTTTTGTGTATCCAAACAAATGCGAGCAATCAGAGTCTTGTGCTGCGTATATGTAACTAGCTTTCAATAATTAAATGGTCCAAATAAATAGAGGTTGCTGGGAAACAGTGTAACAAAGACTAGCTTTTACAAAATATTGCCGCCATTATCTATATCAAAAATATGTAAATATATGTATATTAGACTGCATCACTCCCCATACAAAAAAAAAATCGGTACTGTTTTTCCATTAGAATTATAAAGGCTAATATATTTTAAGACGTCCACCAAATTATTTCGTAAAAATATTAAGATTTAAGCCAGCTGGACCGATTTGAAAATACCTCCAAAGATGGAGTTTTTGATGAATAAAAATAGTTTCTTGAAGATATTTTTTGAAAAAATCCCCTCAAATTACAAAATGGTTTAAGCTTAAAAAATTTGCGAAAAAATATTTTTAATAAAAATTAAAAAAAAAANTTTTAAGACGTCCACCAAATTATTTCGTAAAAATATTAAGATTTAAGCCAGCTGGACCGATTTGAAAATACCTCCAAAGATGGAGTTTTTGATGAATAAAAATAGTTTCTTGAAGATATTTTTTGAAAAAATCCCCTCAAATTACAAAATGGTTTAAGCTTAAAAAATTTGCGAAAAAATATTTTTAATAAAAATTAAAAAAAAAATATTTTGAATGGAATCGTAATAATAAGATTTTTGATGCTGTTTTTAACTTTTTTCAAAGATTGGTAGAAGAAAAACTTGAATAAATATTGTAATCCCGGCGGAAAAACCGCAACTTTATTTTGGTGATGCAGTCTAATGTGCATGCATGTAAGACCACCACCTCACCCCAAAATGTTGCATCTCCAATATGTAATTTACTCTAAACGTTAGTAAAATAGGACGTAGAGTCTTTGGTAATGGAACAGTATTGCAATCGGATGGAATTTAAACAAAAATAGGTAAATACAAGTGGAGACTGAAAAGATACTTCATACAGTAAGGTTAGATATGAAAGTTAGAAGAACATTTCCCACGAGTGTTCTCCATGAGTACCTAACTTCCTGAAGTATATGGGTTCTTCTAAATCGGGTTCCTATATCAAAAAGAAAAAAATTAAGTTATTAACTGTCTTAGCCACTTGCTATGAATGAAATAGAAGATTTACAAAAGACATACATACATTTCCGCTGTTTTTGACAAGCTGGTAAGGAAGCATGGTCTGCTTCGATCGCAGGCCGGGAAATCTATACAGAAAGCGGTCAGTTCATTCCTCTTCGTATTACTACAGATCTATTAAAATTCAAAAAGAGTTTTTGTTTTTTCTTGTTCACGGTCTTTGGATGGATGCGATGCTCCACCTTAGTAACATCCAGTTTGTTTAGCAAATTATAAAATTATTATATAAGCAAATCAGAAATTTGTTTACAATAGAAGATTATATCTTGATGTACTAATGTTTATAAGTATATTGACTAAATGAAATGAAAGTGCTATCAACCGAATCAAGTGTTGCCGTGTAACACTGCTCGCGAGTTTGTGAGAANGTACAATAGAAGATTATATCTTGATGTACTAATGTTTATAAGTATATTGACTAAATGAAATGAAAGTGCTTTCAACCGAATCAAGTGTTGCCGTGTAACACTGCTCGCGAGTTTGTGAGAAATAGTAACGCATCATTTTGAATAAAATATCAGAAATGCTTTTAACTAGTTAATTATTTTTCGGAATTTAATTGTATAGTTTAGTGAATAAGAAACTAATTTTCAAACTGAAAATAACGTTTATAATAACGACGAGAAATAACGAACAACCGGCAAAGCGGGTCACGGTAGCATTTTAGTATCGAGGAAGATTGCTAGAAATGAATTAGCTGTGTGAAGCGAAAAAGCGTTTAAGGAAATTTTCTCTTTGTGTAGCTAAAAAGTTTATGGGGGGATATACATAATCATAATGACCCCGGGTGCTAGAAAATCGCCGTCTTAAAATCTGATCTAATCCTTTTTTCAATTAAACTGTGTAAGAAAATCGATACTTCTAAAAACATATATCATTCCTCATTACTTATTTCAGTTTGAAAACTATTCCTGCCATTTTTTTATATTAAAGGTGTTTAATTGTTATAAGCGGTTTGTTTATTATTACGAAAGGATTTTTATTTTAGCCTTAAAAAATATTTGTCCAAGTTTAACTAAAATAAAAGACCGGGTTGACTGATTATTTATTTCAAATGAAACATAGATCTACACTTTTTCTAATAGTACTTCAGAAAGCGTAAAATATATTTCACAAAACATCAAATGTACTTCAGATTAGTCAAACGTACTTCAGAAACCGTTAATTGGACTTCAGATTAGTCAATTGTACTTCAGAAACCGAAAAATGTACTTTAAATTAGTCAATTGCACTTCAGAAGCCGTAAAATGTACTTCAGATTAGTCAAATGTACTTCAGAATCCGTTAATTGGATTTCAGATTAGTCAATTGTACATCAGAAACCCTAAAATGTACTTCAGATTTGGAAAGTGTACTTCGGATACCGAAAAATATACTTCAGATTAGTCAACTGTATTTCAGAAACTATAAAATGTTCTTCAGATTCGTAAAATGTACTTCGGAAACCCAGAAATGTACTTCAGAAACCACTTTTGCAAATGTACTTCAGGTGTTAGAGTAGTGCTCTACAATCCATTTAACATTACAGTTCACTTCTTCCAATGTAGGTAGTTTGCCCCAAATTCATCTCTTTTGAGAATATTGATATAATCAGTAATTATTTCTCTGACGGTGATATAGCCCTCGAGCAAACTTTATGAAAAAGACGCTTGCGCGACAAAAGTAGAACTATGTAAACACATATGTATGTATATAGGGCGTTCTTAAAAATTTTTTGAGATAGGGCATTTTCGAACTGCCTGCCGAGATCGTTCGATCTTCCACTCAGCAGTCGGTATAGCCTTTCGCTTGCTGCTGATCTAAAAAAACGGAATTATCTTGGACCTCCTTTTTACAAAATATACACACTTTATTAATTAAAACTACATAATAATTGCTTCAATTGCAAAAAATCGCAATTGAATGCAGTATGTATGTATACCAGGGGCGCACCCAGGAATATATTTTAGGGGGGCGTTTATATTTCTGAAGATATATCACCGGAAAATACTGCAAATTTTCTTCAGATAATACTCTCTTTAAAATATATTTATGCAAGTTTTATGTACAGTATGTAATAAATAAATAAACGTTTTAAAATTCATAAACTGCACTTTATTTACATAAGATTAACAGAACTCAAACACTTTTAACCGACTTTAAAAAAAGCGGAGGTTATCAATTCGCCGGAATACGTAACTTTGGACCACGTGAACCGATTTCAATAATCAATTTTTTGTAGAATGATGGTACCTCAAGGTTCGTCCCGTAATTTGGTTTAGAGATCCGATGATTGGATCATGAAGAAATTAACGGTACCCCTAAATTTGAATATAAGAATTGAAGCCCGTTGTGTTATTTCCTTAAAAACTACTTGTTTAATAAAAAGTGCTATAAACTCAAGATGCGCTCAACTTTCAAAAGTACCTAAGAAAAAATTTTAAATAAGACTCAGTAAAAATAAATTTATTGATTCCATGAATTTTTGTTCTTTTATGTTCCTTTTTTCGATTTCTGGTTTCTGGCTTTCGATAGAGATGGTGATTTTTCACGATTTCTAATTTTTTTTAATATTTCGAATACCGAAAAAATTAACTGAACTCTCAAGAAAAACCAAAAATTCATATAAAACGACGGACGAGAAATGAAAAGAAATTTTCTTCTACCAAAATTTCTTAAATCAGATTGCAGCTCTCAAGAAAAAAATGCTCGTATATTAGACTGGGTCGGTCCCCATACAAAAAAAAAAAGTTGCTAATGTCCGCCCCTAAATTTAAAGATTATGTTGAGAGGGTTCTGGAAAATTTTTTTTTTTTTTTTTTTAACCCTCCGAAATACAGCCGAAATGGTTTTTTCGTTGTAACTTGGTTATTTGACGGCCGATTTTTAAAATTGATATGTCATTATTTTTGTCTTGAGAAGCTTCACTTTTCGTTCTTATGT